GCTGTAGTCAGGTCTCATGGCCCCATCTCCAAGGCATGGGTGTCTTGCTTGGAGAATGTGTACCAGGACTGGGCTCTTCCTCAGCAAAGCACAGGCAGATCAGAACCAGCAATTTTTCTTTCCCTTTCTGATTGTGTGACTTCTATAGCAAGAATCATTTAAACTCTTGTGCCAGTGTTGCAGGCTTGATGTAGCCTGTGTCAGTCTTTCATTTCAGTGTTCCTAAAGCAAGCCACAGTTAACTTGGTTTGTCAAGGTGTAATCTCTGTGCTGTGTAAATGTGTGTATTTGTGGTTTACTGAGGAACTTAAATTGCTTTGTATCTTCCCTCTGTCCTCTTTGTACTCATCCTCTCCTCTTCCTGTCTATCTGCAGTCGATTTTCTCAAGCAAGGAAGCAAGGAGTTTGGGTTTTTTCCACTTACTGGTGGAAATAAACAATTTAAGGCCAAGATCTGTTTCCTGAGAAAGACCTGTAGGAAAGCATCTTTCTTGTGATTTCCTGTTCACAATTCTCAGTAAGAGATCTGTTGGCTTTTTTAATCCATTTAATGTGTGCCATGTTAATTTTGTTTTAGTCAATTAATAAGCAGTACCAAATCAAGTCCTTTAGAGAAGACCAAGTATATCAATGTTGATTTAATGGCATTCTTAAAATTTATAGGTCAAACTTGTAATCTCATCAAGAAGCTTGTCAGTTTAGTTTGGCAGAATCTATTTTCCATAGACTTAATTTGATTGACATTGATTTTATTACCCCTCACTAATTCTTTATTATTAAAGCCCAGTATTGAATATTCTGTAATTTTGCCTTGCTTGGCATTGGACTGCTGAACCTGTGAGTACTTCTTCTATCCAGTCTTCCCTCTTTTGAATTTCAGTGCAAACATTTTTCTTCCAGGTTCCTGAAATTAATTGATCACAAAAGAGAGCCATTAGCTCCCTTTTTTTGGAGTCTGTTTGCTGCAAGTGATCCAGATCATTTAATTTAAACATATATAATTTTAGGAGCTCCTGTTCAGCATTCACCTGGTTTGCTAGTTATATCTTCACATGCTTTTTGAGGTGTACATAATGCCTGTTGTCTCTGTACTGTTACTATCAGTATCACCTGGTGAGTCAGGTTGAGTGTTAAGGGATCTTTTTTCTGTAACCTAAAAAAAAAATAATTTTTTATTCCAACCTTTACTAGCCAGAGGGTTTTTATGCCTTTTTTTAATCTGTTTTCTATGGCATATCTGTTCTAACTTAGTGTTTTTCGTTTACCTCAATATAAATATGGAATTGGCCAAAGCAGACAGGCTTACAGAGAAAGTGAAAAAAGGTACAGGTCTCTTTGACACTGCATTTTTAACACTTGCAGATTTTTGCATGTATGGATAAATGATACAGGGTAAATTGATTTTATTTTTATTTCTATCTTTCTCATGACTTGTTTTAAGCATAACTTTCAGCTCTGAAATTGAACTTTCTCAAATGCAAAACATGTACATTACCAGCTTGAGCTTGGCTTTGCCTGTTTTTTTTAAGACTGTCAAGTCCTTGATAACTTATTACCCTGTTACTGCTCATTTTTAGATTTATTCCTTACCAGATTCTGGGAGGTCCACTATACATTTTCAGCTGCTAGAGAAAACATTCTGAAAGAGCAGTGGGAATAGCAAGATAACAAGGTGTTGTTTTAGGATCATCTAGAAATATCTCTTGCCTGACCTACTGAATCACAGCATGTGATGAACTATTGGATTCCAAATCACAGAAAATATTTACTATTTACGGTGCTGTTCCTGGGAAGTGTAGCATGGGAATGAACTACAGTGTCTGTGTGGGATCCCACTGAGAGGTCCAGCTGCTTGCTTTGTGCTGCCAGATTGTGTCCAAAGAAGTGTTACCCTTTTGGAGTACATGCAGTAAGAGTACATGATGAAGAAAATAGGCAAGTTCATACTGTTTACTGTATTCTGGAACAAATCCTTTCATTTCTTCGTCTGGAACAGTTTTTATTTCTTTCATATCTAGAGTCTGGTTTTGTCTGACATAAGGTGCATTTGCTCTTGAGAGGAATTTGAAACTCACGTTTTTACCTGCCCGTATAATTTTTTTTGGCTTCTTAACTGTAAATATTTAGCACAATAAAACTTTGATGTTTGCCACAGTCATCATAAAGCTTTTCACAGACAAAAAACTCATCTTGAGTTTTTCTTTTCAATTTTTTGAGACTGGGGTGTTTGTGTCAATGTTCAAACACATGATAATATTTAGGAGAGATGATTGAAAATACTAAGTGACCAAACAAAATACACTTTGGAAGTGGAAGACTCTTAATGGCAAGGTTTCCTCTCTTCAGCTTCACTGATCCAGTGAGGTCTATGCCAGGAAGCAGCAGAAGGAATTTGCTGATGGAAACAACTGCACTGAGATTTCAATGGGCTGTGAGGGGTGTGGACTTTGAGAGTTTTTAAGATAAAAGGGATGTTCATTGAATTAACAGAAATTCAGTGCTCAAAATTCTGAGCATTCACCCTTTTTTGTGAGAGTACAGTACAGCTAATATACCAATCAGTGGGATATGAATTCATAACCAAATGCTTCTGAGTAACAGGCCTGCAATCCTGTTACAAATTTCATATATTTCCTGATGTTCAGGAGTATATACACTAAGAAGAAACCATGTTTCTGCAGACCTGTCATTTGAAAGAAAAATGATATGACAGTGTAATGGTTTTCATTAAGCCAGGTTCTGCAGTCCTGGATACAGACAAGACCAGCTTTATTCGTTTAGGTATTTGTTGTCCTTCACCATGGAGAAAGTATATTTATCTGTTGCCAGTTGGTAGTGAGAATGAGAGATGATGATATTTAGATAACTTGAATGTTACTGGGGGACTCAAAAAAGGGTTCTGTGTAATTGTAATCTCATTATTTTCTTGTATTGCCATTTATTTCCCTTTCCTGCTGGTAGTGCTGTCTGTGAGTTTGCTGTCCATGGTGTCTCTTGTGCAAGTATTTAGGGAAGGGAGAATGTTTGTTTCTGTGGGAGATTGTTGCAAAACAGTGTATACATTGTAGAGGTTGATCAGTCCATGTGCCTTGAGAATAGCAGTGGCTGGACATGGAAGCCCAGGATCACACATGGGACATAAATCCCAATCTCACATCACCTACTCCTGCTTTCCTTGTACCTCTGAAGTCCAGAGATGTTTAACAGAAAAAGGATACAAACACAGGTTATCCAAGCTCTGATCCTTGAGTCTCCTTCCCCCCAGAAAAATGTTTGTTTCCTAGATAATCACTTTCCTCTCCCTAGGATTGTTTAGGATTAAATATATCAAAGATTTGATACGTTCAGAGGCACAGGGATTGGGGCTGTATAAAATACCTCAGGTAGGCAAGCAGAGGAAGGCATGGCAGGGAAAGTATCTTTACAGTATTTCTGCTCCAGGCTTTGTGCTCAGCCAGACTTCAGGTCGTTCTTGGTTAATGTCATGTAATTTGGGTAAGAATATTTTTGTTGAGATTAGTTTAGCTCTCCAGGAAGACCAAGTACATTTTTATACTTTTTTCTCAAGTTAAATTGATGGGATGGAATTGCTCCCTTGCTGTATTGTGTGTTAAAATAGCCATTTCTTATCCTTAAGCCTGCATGTGGACATTTCAGGCATGAACTGCAGTGTTTCCATGGATTTTTAAAGCTTTCCATTGCATAGTTAGCAGCTTTTAGGGCTTTGATCTGATTTCATAAGACAGAAGCGCTCCCTGTATTTGTGTTACAGCAAACGCTGTATTTTTGGTGGCGTCTGACTTTGAGAAACACACAGATGCTTTTTTGTAGTCCAGGAGACAAAGAAACAAAGCTTTGTGCTGGGATGCAGGATCCGTGCCTCCAGGGGACATCAAGGCACTTGGTGTGCAGCTGCCTTCCCAACCTCCCCGTCCTCCTGGTGAGCAGGAGCTGGGTTGCTGCTTGCTGTTCCTGTGGCTAGAAATCTCCACAAATGCTGCTCCTCTCCTTGGGAGGGATTTTCACGTGTTTCCTTTCTCACTGCCTGTGAGCAGGAGCATTTTGATCCCCTGCACATCAGTGGCTGAGAGAGAGGTGGATTTTTGGCTTGCTGTGCTCCAGATTCACAGGAGGGTGTATGAGAAGGAGCATGGTGGGAATATAGGGCCATTCACCTGTGCCTGCTTGGGCTAGCTGATTCTTGAAATGTGATTATCTGTGTGTATCTCTAAGTTCATATCCCTTTACAAAAAACAAGCTTTGTTTTCCAAACATGCAAAACAAGTTCAGTAGGATGCTGGAAGGAGGGATCTGGAAGCGGCTGTCTGTCACGTTGCATTAATAGAACTGGTGCTGCAAAGCTGCTGCTTGGGCACTGGGGAAAGATCGCTGTGGAGTGGGTTCTCACAGCTCTGTGCGTGTCCATGATCCCTGGAGTCCCTCACCCAGCTGCAGTTTGGGCTGTCCCTTCTCCTATTTACTGGCTGCTCACTGAGCAGTAAAACAAGATGTAAAGATGGTTTTCTGTTCCTCAGGTCCTTCAAGTGTAAAAATGCAGTTTCCTAATTTGGGGGTTTAAATACTTCAAGACTTGTTTATAAACAGTAGCAAAATTATGTGTGTGTTTATTTAATTCTAAGAGGTGGCCTCGTTACTGACAGGTCAGCCAGTTATATTTATTAGGAGCTCAGCACAAAACTATTACACAATTCTGTTGCTGTCAAGCCTCATAGGTGCTTTTCAGTTAACTCCTGTGGAAGGGAGGGCAAGGGGTTGCTGCTTCTTGTTCTTACAGAAGGATCTTTAGAGCAGCAATTTAAAGTTATGATGGCTCCCCCTGTATTAAGGAGACAAAGAAATGATGAAAAACAGCATAGAGATTGTAAGAGAAAGCAGGGATGAAGTAAACAGTGTAAGAAAATTGTGATTCCACTCTTGGAAGTTGTTCCCATGCTAAAAAGTACTGAGTCCTTTTTTCTTTATTTCTTGTGTTTCAACAGGGCAGAGTTTAGGGTATGGATTCGTTAACTACATTGATCCAAAGGATGCAGAGAAAGCCATTAACACTTTAAATGGACTCAGACTCCAGACCAAAACCATAAAGGTAAGACAATATAAAATGCCTTTTGCTCAGTTCAGGAAGGGGAGAAAGTAGTTGGAACTGTTTCTGGCAATTTCATCACTATTTTATTCTCCATTGTGAGGGGGTTAACGAGCTCCTCCTTGGAACAATGAGCAGACATGCAGAAGATGAAATCCCTCTTCTCAGAAATTGCTGCTATTGTTAAAGAGAGGGGAAAGTAACAGGAAGCTCTTTAAAGCATGACAGTGAGGCTTAAATGTAGAATAAAACAGCCAGAATGATACCATTATTCATAAACAGGTGAAGTATGTGGTGGTGTATTCACAAGTTACATGTTTCCTTATGTTTTAATGGGAAATACTTTGTCACAGAGTTCTCTTTTAGTGACACTCCTGTCATTATCAGGTGTTGAAAGCATGTTTCTTGCAAGTTATAATATGTCATTCTCAAAAAAAAATTTTTTCATAATTTCCACATCCTTAATTTGATTTATTATTTTAAAAGCTGGAGGCTTCCCACTGAAGTCTCTTATTTCATTGTTTGTAATAGACCATTAGTTATTCAATGACCTTCTTTAGTGGTCTCACAAGAAAAGCAAGCTTTTACACTGTCACAGTATTTGCTGCATGGCTGATAAAGCTGCTCTGAAACGGCTTACAGAAGATTTCCACATCCCAAATTCTGAAAAATAATACAGCTTAAGGGATGGGAATCAAAAAATTGAAGGGGAACAAACTGCAGATCAGATTCAAATTATCTGAAACTGTTTTGATCATTTTTTTGAATGCTGGCTTTTGATTTGCACCATTTTCTTAATTTTTCTTCTGTAGTTAATTTGTATTTCAAAGCTAAAAATGTTAACATAAAACCAGAATTTTTTACTGTACTGAATATTGCTACAAGTAGTGTCAGTGATGTTGTATCTTGCAAAAAAGATACGTAACATGGTCAGTACTGTAGGTTTTGGCATTCTGGCTAAAAATTGTGGTTTGGACCAAGTGGTGTTGCCTGAAGCAAAAATATTTATTGGATTCTGGTGTATTTCTAAGGATTGTTTCGAGCAAGTTTTTCCCCTGATCTGTTTGATCAGTGAAGAGCAGAAGTGCTGAGCTGAGGGTTATGAAAGTGGTGGAGCAGCTGCACAGATTTTATAGAAAAAGCTGCTTGCAAACCTCCCTCAGACCATCCAGGTTCCATCCCACAGATAGGCATGTGGGCCATACATCAAAATGCTCACAGTATGGTTTTGCAGAGTTAATGGAAACACTTACAGGAATATGTGAGGCAAGGCAGCAAAATCTACCATCTTATCAACTGCTGCAGGTGGAAATGCAGGCTTGGACTCAGCAGTTTCCACTTACAGCAAAAAGTTGCTCTCCAAATTGCTTTTAAAGGCACATTATTGGAGGAAAAAATATTTTGAAAATACTTATTAAAAACTCAGTAGAGCTTGAAAAATCTAGATCACTTTTTCATGCAGCACGTGTATATTTTGAACATTATTTAGCCTTAGGAAGGAACTGCATTTCGTGTCCCTAAGTACCTCTGTTGCTTTGCTTCTGTTTTTCTTTTTTGTGAACCAGAGAAATGCTATTGCATTCATAATATTTCAAGGTTACAGGGAGCTTATGCTGTAAAAGCCCTCCAGAAACTGCAACCCACAGCAATTACTATACATTTCTCACATGCAAAATTAAACCATTGTGCCTTTCTTTGTCATCCGTGGTAAGACTTCTGTTATCTGGGAACTTCCTATGCAAAATCTTACTTTGTGGTACGTTTTTTAATTCAGTAAAGATTTTAGAAATTCAGTGATTTGTTTGTTGTGGGGTTTTCATGTTTATTAATAGCTGGTAGACTGGCATAGAATAAAGGACATTTTGGGGGGGGCTCTTGAAAGCTGTTAATTTTTAATAATAATCAGAGAGATTTATTCAATCTACATGCACAGGAGCTGCATAAGTTCTTCTATGACTAAAAGGAAGCGTAGGGTTTTGGAGTTTTTTAAATAAAATTTGGTTTATGCAGTTGCCTAAAACCAACCCAAGGGAGCCTTCTATCCCAACAGCCAAAGTTTTGGCCACAGGGACATCTAATCAGCAGTTTCCAACCCAATTTTCCATTGCAGAATTGCATATGATTACCTCACCTTTACCCCTTTGGGTTTTTTTGTATTTTTAATTTTGCATTACTTCTGGAAATGCTGATAAATTAGGTCTGCTTTCCCTACTGCTGTGCAGTGGGGATGGAGGTTTCCCAGTGTTCAGGCTGAGGGGTAAATCAGGTGTGTTTGGTGCTGCCAGGGGCATTTGTGTTGCTGGAGAGATCTCTGGTTTCCAAAGGATTTCAAGGTGGTGAGGAGCAGTACTCAGCACTGCTGAACCTCCTCACTTGCCTGTTTGCCCCCACATGCTGTTTCCCAGCATCTCACTGTCATTCTTTGTAAGGCTGAAGTATTTAAACTTGTAGAAATACTATATTTAATTATCAGACCAAATTACTTTAGCTACAGATGCCCTTTACAGTTACTAAAAATGCGCTGTTGGTGCGTTAAAAAAACTTCTCTCAAGAGAACATCTAGAAAAGAATTTAGTGGCATACAGTTTTATAGGGTAAAACATATTTAGTAGAATAACACTGAGCTGGAAAAGTACTGAATCTTACTTTGTTCTGCTTTCTTCATGAATGTGGCTGGGTTTTTTTGCCCCAGAATGAATCTGTAAATATGTTATTGATGGATGGGCTGAACCTTGGCTCCTGTTCATGTGTGTTGGGTAGCTCAAGTCCTGCAGGTAGAATTTCTGTGGCTGCCTTTTGGAAGCTGTTCTGATGGAAAGTTGAAATGAGTAATCTGTGAAAGCCCTTTTACAGTGGCAAATTGCTTCTGCTTGCCAAGGTCACTGTGGTCCTACTGGCTGTGTCCCATCTGTGTCGTGGGCTCTGCTGTTCCTTGCACCCAGACTGAATATGAGGTGGCTCTAGGGAGTTGTATTTGCACTCATTTTCCGACCCCACAAGGCTTAATTCCGGTTTAAAAATAATATGTATGTTTTATGCATGTGGCCCCAAATGCTGTCCTTTTCACTTCTGTAACATTTCTGTGGCAGCTTAATGTTCTGTCTCCTGATGCCATGCAGTCACAGGAGGAACTGGCTTAATAGCAGGATCAGCAGAACAGCCAGGCACAGTCGGCTCTGATGTGTGGACCAAAATAACTGAAGAAATGTTCTTTTTATTCTGTCATTGTTATGATAAATAATCACTTTTTACTCTAGCAGCTAAAATATTTATGTGCATTTTATTTAAGTCAATGATGCCCTTTCAAGTCAAAGTTGAGAGGTGACGATTTACAGAGTATCTATTTGGGAAAAGCATTGGAGGGAATGTTGTGTTTGGTGGTAATAGGTTATACACATTTTGTTCTTCCTCAACTGATCATAGTGCATATTTTATTTACGCCATTTCATAGCAGCATCATCTTCTTGTGAGGGAGAAAAGCTTCACTTTATTTTTACAGCTAAAGCTTGACATAATTCTGCAAAACAGTTTAGAATGTGGGAAGAGACAGTGTGTGTTGAAATAAATATATATTCCAGAAATTGAATCTATTTTTAGAAATTAAATTTGCCCATCCATAAAAGCATATGAAAGGTCACTGCTGCTGTTGAAGATTGCCTGGCAATTCAGTTGCATCAAATATCAGAAGGAAAATAAGATGTGTGATGCATGGGGTACAGATTGTTTAAACTGCTGCTTTGCCCTGAAAAAAGGACAGTGCCTGAAAGGATGCGAAGGAAGTGTTTTACAATTTACTTGGGGATTCAGGTGACCTGGCTTCACTGGAACAAGGGCAGAATAGTTTTGAAAGGAAGTTTGAAATCTAAAAAGAGTCAGTGACCCCCTGAAGTGCAGTCTTGTGCACCCCTCTCTTCCTTTTTCTCTGTTGCCTGATAAATAGGTTTGCTCCTTCCTTCCCTCACAGGAGCAGGTACATGCTGTGACACTGCTGGAGCAAAGGGAGGTGGCCCCAGAGAGGGGAGAAGGAATCTGGGTTCTCTGAGCCCTTGATAACCTCCAGTTTTTAAATCCATCATATCTGTCTGATGGTAAAATACTAGATGGATGATTCCTCTGTGCTCAGAGGCTTTTTCTAGTTAGTTTTATATTCAGTTTAGTTGAATAAATAGCATGGAGTTCTGTATTTCTGCTTTACTCCCCTGTTTTGATCAATAGGTCTGGATGGTCCTAGTTTAAAATACAGAGAATAAGGCTGTAGGAGGAAGTAATCTTGCTTTTTCTGAAAATAAAGTAGTAACATTACTGCTGAAAGATCTTGGTTTCTGTGGCATTTTTCAAAATGCCAGCCATTTCCACAAAACTCAGGCTCTAAATCTGTCCATGTTAATTTTTGTAATTGTCCACAAAACTACAAACCATCCTGTCACTGTAGGGTAACCAAATAAAAGCAGCCTCAGATTTCTCTGTCCTACAAAGTCATTTGTCAAAAAGATTGCCTTCCAGCCGTGCTCGGCGGAGGAGGCAGCGCAGGAAGCACAGGGCAGGAGGAGGAATTGCAGCAGGGAGTGCTGAGGAAGAGACTTGCATCTCCTGCACCCCATCCTAGACTCCTTGGGAAGGTGTGGGGGAAGCTCAACACAATTTGGGTTGCAGCCAGAAAGCTCTGGGTTGCTGGTAGTGATGGTAGAAGAGCTCTGGTGTTGGGTGCCCTTGGTGCAGCACTCGGCCAAAAGCCAGTGTTATCCAACCGTGTTCTTGCACAGCCTCCACAGGCCCACCCAGCCTGCTGGACACTGCCTGCAGCCTCCACTGAACACATGGCATGTGGTGCAAGGCTGGCTGGTAAGGAGAAGGGTGTACAGAGACATCAGGGCAAGGCACAGGAGGAGCTTGGATGATCTGCAAGGAAGAAATGGAAGGTTGTGGTGTTGGAAGACACTGGGAGTAGCTGAGTACATTTGACTGCAGCAGGGAGGGATTTGCATTTTTTAGTGTCTTGTGTGCAGTGCCCTTTTTTTCCCTTTCCTGAAAATTCACATTACAGGCACAAACTGCAGATTTGGGATGTAGCTATTTTATAGCTGCTTCTAAAATTGAAGTAACTACTTGTTCTCTTTGATGGTAGCACACACTACCATCACACACCAGAGGGGTCGTCTGCTGTGGCTGCTGCTTCCCAAGACAAAGTCTTGGACAAGAAATTCAAAGATGCCACAGACCTGGAAAGCCTCAACTAAGCTTATTCCTGTTTTGCTCTTTAGGACCCTCTGTCAGTGTAACCCTTTGGACTCGGTAGCGCTTATTAACAAACCCTCCTCCACCCATTGTGCCTGCAGTGATACTGGTGCTCGGAGGACCTTTCAGTGCTGCATTTGAAGGTTCAGCTTTGGTTCTGCTGTGTTCAGGAGGCACCAGAGGGGTCTCTGCCTCTTAATTCCATCCATCTTTTCTTAATTGTGATTACTTTTTTCCTGCCTCAGTTTTGCCATTGAGTTCTTTTCATTCCACAGAGCCAGAGCAATTATTTCTCTTAGCCTTGCTCTTGATACAGCCAAGAGTGTTTCTAGTCTATTATCTATAGATGTCTTTCCTGAAATGATGGGATAGACCATTGTACCTGCAATTATAATTAATCTCTGTAAAATGGCATTGAATTGCTCAACAGTAAAGTGCATCGTCACTCCCCCCATCCCCCAGCCAAGGGCTTAGGGAAGAGAAAGGACAGAGCAGTGCAGGCATCAGATGTGAAAGTATTCCAGATCCTGGTCTTCAGCCTCTGGACCAGAGGGCTTTTGTGTTTGATTGTTTTGACAAAGCACAGAGCTTTCACGGGAGGTTGTTTTAAATCTGGTTTTGCACAGAATTAGGACACAGTTGAGGGTCTGGAAGTGGCTGTGGGGAAATGTTTCTTTCTGCCATAGCCCATTCACTGGTGCTAAGCAGATTTTACTTCTAGTTCTGGATGTGCATTAAACAAGTGAGACTGTGCTTTATTTACCTGTGTGAGGCTTTTGAGTGCTTGTGTTAAAGCACTTCCAGTCCATACCAGTGGGAAGAAGGACAGCAAATGAGGGAAGGGTTGTCCCCATTCTAAACTGGACTTGAGGCAGAAAAAAGCCAAGTGACTCACCCCAAAAAATCATATAAGAAATCCTGTATCTCAGAGAGTGTCACAAAAGGACAAAGCAAAGTCTCTGTATTAAGGTCACCAAGAAGCCTGACGTTTTAGAATGTTACACAACTTTTTGAAAGCTGCCCAGGGAGTCACTGACTGCACCTCAGCTGCTTGTGGCTGGAGAGGTTGTCCCAGGGACTGCAGGTGCCCAGGGTGGTTGGCTTGGTGGTCCTTGGGTGCCTGTGCTGCGCCCTGATTCAGGCTCCTGCATGGTTTCCCATTCTCCAGGTGAGGAACGGTAGATGCAGAGCAAGATACATCTTGGAGAAGGTTGGTACCTGCAAAATGAGCTGCTTGGTTCCTGCTCAGGTGTGTCCAGGGCAGGGTGGCTCTGCTGGTCAGAGCCAGGAAAGGCACGGAATGCTGGCATCATTCCAGGAAAGGATGATGCAGTTCCTCCTCAGAGCAGACCACAGTTAAATTTTACAAGGAGGCTTCTAGAAATGGACTTTGTTTGAGAATTCCAGGATTAGCACAGGAGCTGAAGGCTGCTCTTACAGGGAGCAGCAGTGAAGTGGTTAAGTGTCAGTGTTCAAATGTTGCTTGTTCCATAAGACAAATGGGATGCGTTCATGCCTCTGGGTGCCTTTGCTGTGGGCTCTGGCTTGGAAAGGCCAGACCGCTTCAATTTATGTTCTGAAGAGTCTCGAGGTTAGTAATACTTGAAAAAGTTTTCTATATGGGAAAACTGGTAGAAAATCAATAGGGAAGATAATTACTTGAATTTGGAGATATATTGTGTGCACCTGAACAAAAATGTGCTTTTCCATGGAAGATACAAAATGCTGGACCTTCTGATGCTGCAGTGGTGTTGGGAGGCAGTGGTGCAGCCTCTGGAGATGGGTGTTTTTTATGAAGAGAAGCCCTTAGACAGGCTAATGCTCAATGTCAGATGAGAAATGTCCTGTAAAATGTTTTTCATAGTTATTATATATGTATTTATAGAAACTAACATCTGAGGCAAGCAAGCCATAAAATGAATTGTACAATATTTTATTTTCTTCCTTGCAAATTTGACTGCAGAACTCCTAAATGATCTTATGCAGTGAAATCCAACACCATGGTTCGACCTTCAACCATTGTACGAGCGGACAAACATTTTAATGCTGAGAAATGCCTGGGTCAAGCAGTAGTTTGGTGTTCTCCAGCTCATTATTTGAATTCTTTGTGGTGTCTAGGCTTCCATACTCTTTTCTTCTTTCAATGCTCTGTTTCATTACAGGGTGCTAACACTGCCGTGAGCAAAGGAAGGAAAAAAAAAAAATCATTTTTAAATGTGGATATAAAGAATTAATGCAGCGTCCTCACCCAGCGCTTTGCGGTTTGCAGTGATAAAATGGGAGCTGCTTTTTGCTCCCATTTTAACTTGCACAGCATAAGGAGCTTCTGGTGTGATGGAGGGTCAGGGTGGGCGATTTCTTCCTTTGATAGCTCACACACAGGAAGACATCCCGTCCTCAGCACTAACTGAATAATAGCTTGAAAGCAGGATGGCACACTCTAACCGATCGATTTGTCATTGGCTGACCTCAGAGGGAAGATGAAAAAGATTCAAAAGCAGATAAATAATTGACATTACTAGCCTTGAGTCCATTCAGCTCCGCAACCTTTTCTCCTTGATATTAAAGACGGCTGAGTTGCTTTTGGCAGCTTCTTTCTTTGGCTCAGGCTCCCCTGCAGCCTGAATGTTTGATTGCGGGAGGAAATAAAAACTAGACCTGAGCAGCAATAGGTGTTCGCATGTGCTGTGCGTGGAGGGTTGGGAGTGTGAGAGCCTCTCCTTCCTCTGCCTGCCTGCAAGGCCCATGAGAGCAGAGAGAGCCTTCTCTAGGTGGAAGTGTATATATATATATATATATATATAAAATGTCAGACACTCATTGCTCTGGGAAGTAGTGTTTTTGCATATCCCAATACTTTTCATCCTCCCTGTAACTTGGCATTTGGTTAATGAATGTGCCAGAGTGAGAAACCCAGAGGAAACCCCTGGCTGTTTTCCCAGGAACTTTATTCATTTTGCTGTTCTCAGTTTTAAGGAATAGGTAAGATCCCTACCCTCACCCCTGAGAGGCTCTTAAATGTTTTTTAAACTGTTATTCCTAAAGTAGGTTAAACTGTAGGTGCCTGAACTCTCATGGTACCCTTTCAAGAGGAGGCATTTGCAGAGTGGGGAAGGAGAGCCTGCTTTTCCAAATGCCCCAGCACCAAACCAAGCTGCAGGTGAAAGCATCATGTTCTTATCCCTGGTGTCCCCTAGGGCCTGGGTTGAGCTTTGTTGCATAAAAGCCACGTGGTGCTGTCCATGAGTGTTGTGGTCCTGGATCCATCAGAGGGGCACTCAGGACCAGCAGTGAAGGGATGGAAATGCTGCATCCCATCAGGAGCTTGTGGGCTGTGGCACAAAATCATTTCTACGCCAATATTCTTCTTATCAACAGCTGAAGGTTTCTCTGCTCCTCATGTCTGCTTGAGCCTTTGTGCTGTGTGCCTGAGCTCGCCTCCATTGATGCAAATGTTTCATCTAACTTCCATTTCATATTTCTTTCCCTGAATTTTCCACTTCCTCTCTCCAGCCCTATCTGTAAATGTTAGATTTAAAAGGTTACAAATGTGTAAGTTAGAAATTGGTAAAAACCTTAAAATCTAGCATCTTTAGAGTTTGTCTGCTATTATGCAGAGAAGATTGTGGAAGCAAATATTAGTCATTAACATAATTTTCTGTGTTGAGTCAACATCTATTTTTAGGTGTGGAGCGCATAAAGACAACTTTGACACATAAAACACAGACATCCATTTGACATCATCTGTGTTCAGGCTGAGGGAAGAGGGAAAGACAATTGCTGAATGTATTGTATTCGTGATGGGAACCCCCCCACTTCCTTCCTAGACACATTTTAAGACGCAATGCAGGAAAGTACTGATCTGTTTATATTGAAATAAATCAAAATGAAGTGCAGAATACTCAGCTTGGGTTCCATTGCTTTTTCAGATGTGCTGCAAAGTAATTCATGATCTGTGCTGAATATTTGCCATTAGGAAGTATTTTTATGATGTTAAATGTGTTTATTCTAAATGTATATATTATTTTTAAAGTGCAGAAGGCTTTTTATGCACCTATTATAATTATAAATCTGATTCATAGGTAGAAGAGCAGTTAAGAGCCTTGAATTAGTAATTTTCCAACAGCACACATGCAGCGCCACAGCTAGATTTTCTTGTTTGCTTGGTCATAATATTTTATGGTCTGGTTCTGGGCTTTGTAATGCAAGGGAACTTCTTGTGATAAATTGCAGATCTGACAATGAGTGTCAGTCTACAGCTCCCTGAGCAGATGTTCATTTAGTCTAATTTCACCAGTACTTTACTGTTCATCCAGAACAGATCTTGCCAGCTCAGGATGCAAACACAAAGAGAGAGCACAAAAGATCACTCCACAAATAACCTGATCTGTTTCAGACACTTGGAGGGGGAAAACGAAAAACGTACAGGGACCTCAGTGTGCGAGGCCAGCTACAGCAAATCATCCACACCCCACACCCATGGGGGCAAATTTACAAAGCCACACGTGGAAAGTTGCACATTAATCCACCTCTGAACAAAAGTTATTTTATCACTGCACATCAAGAACCTTTGTGTCTGTTTTAAGTTCTCTGTAGCTGTTCCTTTGTTCCTCCAGCCTTTCCTGGCTCTGCTGGTTTTACAGAACAGGTCCTGTCTGAACTGCAGGGTTATGTCTTGTGAAAGAACAGAACATTTTCTGACCAAAATGCCAAGGGTGGCTGTAGCTCTCTAACACTCCTCTCCTTTTCTCTCCCTAGGTGTCATATGCCCGTCCAAGTTCAGCATCCATCCGGGATGCGAACTTGTATGTCAGCGGCCTTCCCAAAACCATGACCCAGAAAGAATTAGAGCAGTTATTCTCACAATATGGGCGCATCATCACCTCACGGATTCTGGTTGATCAAGTCACAGGTTAAAAGAAAACTTTTCTTGATACGTGCATATGTTTCCGGAAGTGGCAAAATTGCTAATGTCTGCAGCTGGGGTTTTTTTTTTCACTTTTAGTATAAAATGCAATACCTGTTTCCTTATAAATGTAACTGGAGGTACAACTGCTGCCACTTTAATGAGGGACTATCAAAATACAGAATATTGCTTACTTAAAATCATTGTTAGATGCGGTAAGGGCCTTGACTTTAGAGATTACGGATTGGGAAGAGGATTTTTCTTCACAAGACTTCTCTTAATTTGCAAACCACTTATTGTGTCAAGTTGAACCCAGCATTCAGTTCATGTTTGTTACACAGATGAGGCTGTTCCTACGAATATTCATCTCTTCACATGTTTTTACTTCCCAGGGGTTTCTCGAGGTGTGGGATTTATCCGTTTTGATAAGAGAATAGAGGCAGAAGAAGCCATAAAGGGACTAAATGGCCAGAAGCCTAGTGGTGCTACAGAACCAATTACTGTGAAGTTTGCCAATAACCCCAGCCAGAAAACAAGCCAGGCACTCCTTTCACAGCTGTATCAGTCTCCCAACAGACGCTACCCGGGACCACTTCACCACCAGGCTCAGAGATTCAGGTAATTACCTGGAAAAGAACTGAAATTCCACCAGCGACGACAATGTGGGGCAGGTGTTGTGCGGGAAAATATGCTTTAGTTGCGTAGGCTGACCTGATTTTCTTTGTAAAATTAAATATTCTTTCCTGGAGAATGAGGAGGAAAATCTGCTGACAGCAGTAGTCATGTTGTATTTACTAAAACAGCTGAAGTACTGTACAATCAGATCTCATGAAGGCTCATAGAAAAAGGGAGGACAGAACAGAGTTACACTGGTAATCAAATGAGCAGTGACTGTCTTGTTCTTTCTCTCTTTTTGGGTAATGCTTTTATTTTCTGCTATATTACTACAGTTTTGATGCAGCTTAGACTTTGATGTTAATGGCAGTGGATTGGTAGCAGGAAAAAAGCTGAGTCTGTCCCAGTCAGCAGGAGTATCATTAAATTTATTAGCCTGAGATATCTGCTCTTAGTATAAAGAGCCCTTGTATTAGTCTTTGGTGTGAGTCTTCAGATGCTTTTGGGGATGTTTTATGCTTTGCATTTTGAATATACTGTTTCCATCTGATGCATAAGGCAGAGTTAGCAATATGTGATGTTCCTATTACATTTATACTTAATAGTTCTCAGGCAACCCAGCTTTCAAATAAAAAAGTCTGCCTCAAGAAAGAAAACTTGGACATATTTGCATAACTGAGTTGCACACTGGCTTTAGAGGATTACTCAGAAGTAATTTTAGTTTGTCAGTGATGAAAAGTGCTAATGAATTAAAGATCATAAAAAGTCAGTCATTGGATACATTAAATTTACACTTGTTTTTGTGTCTTTGGCACGCAGCTGTGTCCATTGAGGTTATCACTGAATCATTCCATGGACAGAAGGACTTTATTGTGCTGCCATGGAAAGCAGATGATTAAATTCTGCAAAATTTGGAGGTTAATTTGGATTGACATGTCATGAAGGATTAATACTAAATATATATAATAAAATGGGGAGAATGTGTTATATTAAAGCAGATAATCAAGAATTTTTCCAGTTCCAGCAGTTTTAGTCTCTACACTTTATTTCCAAGTTAACTGTAAATATAAGGTGAGCAGTTGAATTACCAAAAAAAAGTTGAATTATAAAAAAAAAAAGACAAACCCTAAGTGGATTTTTAAAAACCAGTCTCTGGAGGTTAAGCCTTTCTCTGAGACTGCAGACAACATTAAAAAAGGCTTTTAAATGCTCTGGTGGAAATTTAAGCACAACCTCAGACTTAACAAAGCAGGCCGGGAGTTGTTAGGCTCCTTAGATGTGTGGGAAACTTGTTGAACGTTTCTTCTTTGAAAATGGAACACTATTAATAATAGTTCCATTGAGCGATCTTGCCATCTGTGAGACATTAACCCAAAGACCCTCCTTCTCTTTTCAGGCTGGACAATTTGCTTAATATGGCCTATGGCGTAAAGAGGTAATTAGAATTCCACAGATTGCCAGATGTCCGTGTTGGCACAGATTGGTGCTACAATTTATTTTTTTTTAATTCACTAACTTTATTTTTTTTATCCCTTCTTTTCTTCACCAGCATGTCAAATTCTTTTTAAGTTTGGACTTCAGTTGGTTTTGTTACTTTAAAGGCCTCACGCGCAAGTTCTGTGGGGTTTTTCAACCTTTTTTTGTTTACAGGTGGGCTTCTCAAATGGTTTAGGTGCCACAGCTACAAGCATTGAAATTGCAGTTGTTCTGCTGAGTGGTGCTTTTTCCAGAATCAAAACTATTAACTTGAGTTTTTAACAAATCTCTGATCTGATAATGGAAAATTTAAGTCGAAAATCAGAATTAGGCTGCTGTTATCTCACACAGTTAAGATCACCTTTCTGCTACTCTGGCATCTTAAGTTTGACTTGAAAATACAGCTGTGTGCACCTCAATCAGCCTGAAGTTTCTTTTGTTACAGGTTTAATACTTTGAATTTTTTTTCAGTCCTTGAAATTTATTTTTTGTTTGTTTAATGTAGCTGTGTGTTTGTATGTGCACGCATGTGTGAAAGCTCAGCTGATCTGTCAACATTTCTGCTGTTCCATGAGTATGTTTGGTAGCTAAAATGAGATGTGTTGTTGGTGTTTCTTTTAATGGCAACATCAGCATAAGCAACCCTTGCAGCAAAACAAAGGTGTAGTCTTATTCCTGATGTTACCCTAAGATGTCCAGATTAAGATGACAAAGTACTGCTTAATCTTCTGAAATGGTCTACTCACCACACTTGAAAATTACTTGAGCTTTTTTTTGAAGCTCATCCTCTAAAAAGGTATGGTAAGTATATCTTTACACTAGCAAGTAGCAGACAATAAGGTGGGATTTAACTTCTCAGTAACTCAGTACAGATCTGAAATCTTGAGTACTCACAAGAGGAAAGTCAAAACAGAGCTTCTCCCCAGAAGCACCGGTGCTGGTGTTCATGGGCACATTGGTTGTGTCAAGATATCCTTAGTGTGGTGATGGGGTTATAGTGAGTGAGAACCCCCTGCCTGATTTTATCACACATCACTTCTCCTGTGTTCTCCCACCTTATTTTTTCCTTGATATCTTGTCAGAAACATGGTAAAACTCCCAGCTGAGTGTCTGTCCAGGTGCAAGTCAGTGTCAGAAGGATGGGTTTGTTCTGGGAGGCTTCCCTGGGTTTTTGCCGCTGCTGCTCCTTCCCTGGAATTGAGCTGGCGTGTGGTGCAGGATAGGCTTAGACTGAACAGAGGAAAAGAGCAGGAAAATTACCTGCCTTTATAGGTTATACATCTGCTTTCTCAACATTGTCTGCAGTGTTACTCTAAAAACACAGCAGTGTTTAAAGTCACTTTGCAGGCATCTTAAATTAGTTCTTATCTCCTCTCTGCAAACCTTGACAATTGTACCTGCACAAGCAAAACCTGAATCTGTAGGTGCAGGGTCACAAAAATATACCGCACTGATCATTTCTGAAGCTGTTTCAGAAACAGGAGATTGGCTCTCCCTGTGCTAACTGTGTGGTGCTGATGGAAAATGAGACATGCTGATGTGGAAAAAAGGTTTTATTGAGGCTAATTTCAGATCACTTGCTAGTAGCAAAGCTCCTTATGCGATAGGTGATCTTGTATTTGTGTCAATACACTTGCACCAGTTTCGTGCGTGTTTTGTTGGATTTACAGCAGCTGCTGTGCTCATGGCACATAAATAGTTGAAAGCTGCATAGCTCCTAAAGGTTTCCAGGGAAAAGCTGCTCTTCAGTGAACTGTAGGAAACTTTAACCCTTTACATCAGTGCAGCATTTCATTAAAATGCAAAGCCTTATAATGCATTGTGACATGCACGGCGTTGCATTGTACAGGTTTTACATCGTCCTTACTTAGAGCGTGGTGTATCCCATAGTGTTGTATTAATTTAAACATTCCAGAAAAGCACTGTTTGGTGGCTTATGTGTGTTACTGACACAGTTAGCACTTGCCAGCGATGGGTTTGAAGTCCTGTCTTCCAGATTTCAAAATGAGCTGAAGCTGTTGGCTTGTAGAAGCCCTGTGCCTTATTTCCAATCCTTATTTCCACCTGTGGTGGAAGGAGCAGTAGAAATTGGCCTTGTCCAGCCTTTCTGTGCTGAACTGTTGTGATAATGTCACTGGTTTCACTGTGCAGGAGAGAAACTAAAATGTGTTGAGATGAGGATTTGCAAAAGTGAAGTTGAGTTGGAAAATTGCCATGTATTTTTAATAAACTGTCTGCAAACCTTCCTGAGGATCTGATGCTGTGAGCATTTGTGAACTGCTCATTTATAGCATAGCTACACCCCTGTGATGATCCTCAGCTAAAGATCTATATTCCAAGTGTCTTCTTTTTCCCTGAATATACATTAAAAGTGCTGTCAGGCATCAACAGAACAGTGAGCAACCATCAAGTGTGTAGTTTCCTTTATGGTTATTTAATATACACTGCATAATATTGTGCAGATTGCAAAACGTGTATGGAAATTATTACAAGTGTAAAAAGTTTTGGAGAGCACAAGAGCTTGCTCAGCAAGAGAGTCCCTCCCTCTGCTCCCTCAATCATTGCTCAGAAAATCCTGAGGAATTATTTTTCTGTTCTGGTATTAAAACTCATCATATTGAAAGTACACGTGAAACTGGATTTTTAAGACATTTCCTCTGTGCAGTTGTTATTTTAAAACATATCCCAAAGTGTAGCTTCAGAAAGCACGTCAATTTTTTTTCCACACTGATGAAAGGAAAATTATGTTGATCCTGAGGGCTGATACTGCTTAACATCTTCATTAATAACCTGAGTCATGGGCTGCTCTGCGCCCTCCCGCATTAGCGGGTGACACTAAATTGGTGAGGAGCAGGGGCTGTCACTGCTGCTGGCCATGGCTGCCACTGGGGAGACCTTGGAAAGCTGCAGGAACATGCTGAAATTTGGGAAATGCAGATGTAGAGTTTAGCCCCTGACTGCTGCCTGCAGCTGCCTACAAGGGGCCTTAGAAGGAAGGTGAAGCCGAGCTTTTTGCAGAGGTCAAACACAGGAGGACAAGAGTCAGCAGTGACGGGCTGCAGCAGGGGAAATTCCACTTGAGGATAAGGGAAACTCATTCGCAGTGAGGATGGAGTCCTGCAGCAGGGGCTGCAGGAGCGGGGTTCGTGTCCTTGGAGATTTCCTGAGCTTCCCTCTGCAGGGCCATGAGCAGCAGATCTCATTTGAGAAGCTACTTGCTTGGAGCAGGAGGCTGATCAGATGATCTCCATAGATCCTGCCCAGCCTTTGTTACCCTGTGATGGATCTGTGTTCATAAACACCTGGCTTTATCTGCTCTCTTCGGATACTGGAGGTGAAGTCCCAAAGGACAACAAGGAAGAAACAGTAGGGTGCTCTGTTGAATTCTGGGGGTTAGTCCCTGCATTGACTTCTTGAAGAATCTAAAGCCTGTCATGGAAATGAAGCCTCACAGTATGAAGGTATCAGTTGATGTGCTCATTAATTGTATTTATGTTCTACTTACTCTACAATTGCTGCATAAACCTTCTTTGATATGTGGCTGGCTTTAGGATTTCTTGTTACCTGAATTTTTTCCCCAGTGTGTGTCAATTAAGGACCATGTTAGGAGGAGAAATAAAATCTGCCACTTACAGACATCTCTCTAATAGTATTTTTAGCTGAAGAAGCTACCATTACAGCTGAATCCTGACAAAGGCATTTCTTATTAATCTTTAAAATAGGTCTTGAAGTTTGCTTGGGTTTTTTCACTGCAGACTAGTAGGAGATAAAGCATTAGATCTCCGTTGTCCTGAAACTTACATCAGTGCTGGGAATAAGTGGCAAATTTCTGCAGCCCCTTTTTACACGAGCTGTTGTTTATCACAGCGTGTGCAGGCCCTCTCTGACTCAGATTGTCCTCAAGCATTTCTTTTCTGAGGTCTTTGTACACATCCAAGCAGGGCTTATCCTAGGAGGGAGATGCATTTATGGCCAGATTTGGCAATTTTATTTAGTACAGCTCCCCTCCGCTTCAGCGGGAGTTAGAGAGCAAGGGTGGCTCTGTGGTCATCTTCCAGGGACAGGATCCAGAACCTTCAGTACCATTGGCTTATTTACTTTAAAGTCTTGGACCCTTATAGCTCGTGCCAAGAGATATATTTAGAATAGACCCCTCTTTTTGCTCGGTAGGTTTTCTCCGATCACAATTGATGGTATGACGAGCCTTGTGGGAATGAATATCCCTGGTCACACCGGGACTGGATGGTGCATCTTTGTCTACAACTTGTCTCCCGACTCGGATGAGAGCGTTCTGTGGCAGTTGTTTGGTCCCTTTGGAGCGGTCAATAATGTCAAGGTGATCCGTGATTTCAACACCAACAAGTGCAAGGGATTTGGCTTTGTCACCATGACCAACTACGACGAAGCTGCCATGGCGATTGCCAGCCTTAATGGATACCGTTTAGGAGACAGAGTATTGCAAGTTTCCTTTAAAACCAATAAAACCCACAAATCCTGAATTTCATATCCTTACTTACTAAAATATATATATATAAATATATATACGAACAAAACAAAACAAAAAAAAAAACTCTTCAAGGCTTATATTCAACCATGGACTTTATAAGCCAGTGTTGCCTAAGTATTAAAACATTGGATATCCTGTGAGGAACAGGAAAGGATTTTATAATGCTTAGAAAAAAAAAAAACCTTTGATGCATTGAATGTTCTTTCATAGCTGTCGTTGTTGAATATAATATACATAGATAACAATGTGCAGGGATTTTTACCCGGCCAGCTAGTTTTACTACCTTCCTTGAAGGTGGGTCTTTTTAAGATGACCATTCACTCATTTGAAAAAATAATAAAACAAAAAACAATTTTTACGAACTAATGGGATTAAAAGCGAGAAAAAAGATTTTTGTTTTCTTTTCTGTTTTTTCAAAACATTGATTGAATCAGATTGGTAAACCCCCCACACAAATTAAAGAGGAACAATAAAAATTGCAAAAAGAAGAACATAATTTTGCAACTTTTTTTATTTTTCCTTTTTTCTTTTGTATCATGTGAACTAAACAGTCTTCTGTTAGGGAATGGGGTAACGGGGGATACCTGATGACATAACAATTTAAATAACATTAACAATGTTGCCAAAGAGGTGGTCTCTTTGCTGAAAATGGGTTTCAAGAAAAATCTATTTTTATAAAATATAAAGAATTTTTACAAGAGAATCTGGATTTGAGAAAAAATATTTTGACTGGCTAATTTAGGGGAAATTGACAACTTTGTCATGTTCATACTGCACTGGTAACTTTTTAGAGATCAAGATGTGTGTTTTAAACTGGATTAGTAGATTGTTTTTTGAAGGATGGGCTACAAACAGATGATCTTCGTATCTTTTCATAGCATGTAATAAAAATATTAAATACAGTACGGGAGAGTGTTCTTCCCAGGCACGCAGTTACCCACAGTCAAAACCCAAAAGCAAGGAGATGAGTTGCAAGACGGTTTTTCTTTAAGTCATCAGTATGGGATATCAGCAGAACAAAAGTTAAAAAAATTAATTTTTTGATCAAAAACTTCCTTGGTTTGAGCAGTAGGTGCTACAAAATTATTTACATATCTTAGTATCATAGTTAAATGTAATGTGTTTAGAAAAAAATACATTTGCTTTAAATTTGTTAAGAATTTTCAAATTCACTTTATAGCCCAAGCTAATATAATTGGGCTGTGTTGGCACATTTGGAACACTGTTTATGTTGCTTGAAACACTTATTTATTTAATTGCCGATGTGATGCATATGGCCAAAATCAAATATAGCTAGTTTGGCTAGTCTACTTATTTGTTTACTTAAACTATGGGAAGAAGCATATTATTGTGTCATTTTGTTGTGTGTGTATGTGTATATATAATATAAATATATATATATATAAAGTTATTTTTTCTTTTGGTTAATTTATTATAAGTTGTAACACTTTGCTAGTTTTGTTTGTATATGTCTTAAAATGTTTTCTTATGATACTTAAGTGACAGAGGTATCAAGGTAACTTGTGTAGAAATATTGTTTGATATATTGTCATGTTTGTTGTGAATATTTTTTCTTACTGCACAGTAGAAAAGAAAACAACTGGGTCTTTATTTTAATGTAATTCAGATTGGGGAAAACAGAGCTAAGGGAACAAAATGACTGAGGGGGTGCTCTCCCATGTCCAGTGCACTGATCATTTTAGTATGTTTGTGCTTTGTACGGTTATATATTTAAAACAAAAAAGGGTCATGCTCTTCCCTGAGTACTAGAAACAGTTACTCGCTATGCATAATCTAGTTGATAGTTAAATTTGCTATTGCTTTTCTTGTCTTGTTATATAAAATCTTTTCAATACAAGTTTAGTCTTAATGGTAATAAAACGTTATGGTTATTTATAACTTGTGCTTATTTTGTGCATTTTTTCCATGCTATACCCACTAACTGCATGTAGACTAAGTATTGTTTTTTCACACTGAAGAGGCAAACTTTTGTAGTAGACAAATAACTAAAAGCAAAGGCTGCATCATAATTTTATCAGTTTTTTACTTTAACAATGTTAGATTTTAGTTTAAAGGAACACTCATTCAATGTTCAGGGAAACCTTTATACATCATCTGCTATGAATGAGCGCAGTTTGCTGGGAAAGTTTTGATGCATTTGCTAAGCATTAGTGGGGAAGGCATGTCAGAATCTTTTCTCTACGATGTGTTTTACTATCTGAATAATAATAATAATTTAAAAAATCTTTCTTAGGACCAGGCAGTTGTATACTTTAGTTATAATGAATGACTTCATGTTAACCTTGCTAGTTTAGATCATTTCTGAGGGAAAGTATTGTAAATGTTTTTTTCATAACCTTGTTGTGTTTGAATTATTTGTACTTTAATTGTCCAGACAATAAATGAAAGTGTGTAGAATGGCTATGGACTTTCCACCTTTTTAAGTGTGTTCAGATGTTTTAGTATTCCCAGCCACACCTCAGCCGAGGTAGAGGTTTAGTCTCTGATTCCAGAAGCAAGGTCTTCAAGAGAGAAACGTTCTAGTCAAACCAGATTGAGCATATTCATGATTTGTTTTTCCTTCTGAAGGCCAGAAAGAATCGGCCGTTTAATTTAAAATGTTGAACACCAAATACCAAACTGTAACTTTCATTTATTTGAATGTGGAAGATGCTGAAGGGTTTCTACTATATACAGTATTTTTACACAATGAAAATATTAACTCAGTCAATATCAACACTTTAAAACATAGTGAGCAAATTTCAGTGATAATAACAGTTTTTAAGCCATCATTTAGTTTGACTTTTCTATGAATATGCTATGAATGTCATGCAATATGAAACAGTGTACATATTGTCTGATGTGCAACAGTATATATGATCACATTCCAAATTTGATTCTTTTCACCATGTGTTATAACTAGAGTTGATACTTCTTTCAGTTGACTTGTTTGAATCTCATTAATACAAATATTCACTTCATGTTTATGTTCTGTAACATTCACTAATTGAGAATATGTACCTTGTAAAACTGCAGCATTGAATTTCGTAACTGAGATTAGGAAACTCTATCAGAGGGCTGGATGGACTGTGTGGTTCTTCAGCTCCTTCACCTATTAATAAACTCGTGTTTTTGTGAGATTAAGTTACCATGTTGGTCATAATAATTAATTTCAAGCCACAGAATGAGTTTGTTCTTAAATTTACAGCTTGCCTAATTCATCCTTAAATCCACCTCACCATGCCATAGTAAAAAGCAGAAGTGGTTAATTTGGTCTGTTTAAAGACTTGTCTCTGAAAAACCTCATCCTTCCATCTACATATATATGTATATACACATATTTTGATTATATACATATATATATACTTTTTTACAACATGCACCAGTCCATTTAAAAAAAAAACAAACAACAAAACCTGCACTTTCCATTTAAGAAAGTGATATTTTATAACCAGCACTGTTATATAGATATGGTTCTACTGTTCTCTCTATAGCATTTGTTAGGGCTGTCGCCTAGTTTTTCTGCAGTCCTTTCTTAAGAAAGTAGTGAGACCAAAATCATTGTATGGTCTGGGTGCTCTTAAGACAAAACACAATTGCCATTGGGGCCAGTTTTGATTCATATTACCTCCCCACTTCCTCTGAAAGGTTGGCTCCTTGTCCTCATATATCATAAGGTACCTGTTTCTCCATTCAGCAGCTTGGTGAGTCCCTGTGAGCTGAAGCACACCAGTAACATAAGAGAAAGGACTCTGCCAGCTTTTAGGGATGCAAAATTCAGTCCCCCTTTTGAGAGTATCGCAAATGGGAACAGGATAAGAACAGTCACAGACATGTTCCCCATGCTGATCCTATGGGAGCATTTTCAGAAAGTTTTACTGAAACACAGTTTCTGCCCAGCTGGGATCAGAACCACATTTCACTAACACACATTCAAAGTAATCAAGGTTTATATTTCCTTCTTGAAAGGGTAATCACTCTTTCTGCAATTAGTGAGCCTGCTGCATAAATGGAAAATCACCTGGGGGAGGGTGTTTCAAGTGCATTCACTTTGTGTTCCACTTCAGCTTACCTTAGACACGGAGCTGGGCTCGGAATGCACTGAGAGGAGAGCGTGTGTTGGGAAAGGAAGGCTGACAGATCCAAGGGGGAGCAGTGAGTGACCCTTAAATTCATACTGGGCCCGTTCAGCTTTCCTGGTGCCCCTGAACATGCAGCAGCCAGACACACAGGTACCCTGGTGCTCCTCCTTTCCAGCGGGAAGGGTGGGTAGGGGGGTCTGGATGCATCAAGCAGAGGCGGCTGCCTGGGTACTCGGATCAGCCTTGGGGTAACTGAGGAGAGGCACAGCCAGAGCTGTTCCAGGGAAGCCTTTCTCCATCACCAGAAGCCAGGCAAGGCTGTTACCTTGCACATCTCGCTTACATGGCTACAGAGAGATGAGGTAAAGCCAGGTCAGAGTGTGGTGACAGTAAAAATTTGCTCCCTGCCCTGGAGATCTTGCAGAGTGAGCTCCCTGCACAGAAGTAATTCATTGTGTGTACAGAGCAAAATGAAAGGAGATCAAATCCAGCATAACTTCATGAAAGCTCTGACATCTCAGACTAATACAGTATCTTTCTTCTAAAAATACCTGACTTCCTAAACCCAGGAGATGGGATGAAGCCAATCCAGCTGAGCCTCTAGCTCACAAGGGGACAAATCACCTGGGCACAAACTGGGACTGCTGCAGGAGGGAAAAACAAGGCACCAACCACACACAAAGACACAAATCCTGTGGGATGCTGCAGCGGGGCATTGCTGCAGGGCAGCCCCTGTCCCCATGCTCAGGACAGTGCTTTCACCCCAGGTATTTTGGGGGTACCTTCAGCACCCAGAGAAGTGGTGGTGCTGGTGCAAGAGGCACTTCTGAGGCCTCCCCAAAAAACACGGTGTGTCACTGGTGTGCTCAGCATATTCCAGTGGGATCATGTGCAGAGCAGCACCAGGGTGATCAGGAGAACAGGAACTCTGAAGAGCCACTGAGCTTGAATTGTTTCTACCTCCACTAACCACAAAACCTGTGTCTTAAAAAGCCTGTTCCTGTAAATCTTTCAGAGCTGAGCTTTAGAAAGGGCTGTAGGAAGAAAAGGGCCCAAAAGGAGGGGGTCATACATAGGCACCCTGATTTAACTCACCCACAGTCAAGATAAATCAGATTGGTTCTTCCAAATTAGCAATTTTCTGAAATACTTTCTACACACATAGAAATTACTGGGAAGATGGATACACACACACACGCAACAGCTGCTTTTCAGACACAGTTGGAAGTTTTGCTTGCCACATTCCTAAGGTATCACTGATATTTTTAAATGCCAGTCCAGCATATTTTAAAATATTTTATCTTAAATTTCATTGAGATTTTAAATGTTAGAGAGCTGAAATATTTTTTTCTTGTGCAGTAGCAAAAAATTAAATCCTAAAACCTTTATTCTGTTTGTTCCACAATAAACCTCCCGTCTCACATCATTGGGGTTTGGAGCTGCCAGCAAGTGACTACTGCTGCTTACAGGCAAACACAATCTGAAGCAGGTTCATATTCCTTCTCCCAGAGAGCAGGCAGACCCCTGTGCTAAGTGGAGCATTGCTCTGCCAACAAGTCCAGAAGCTTTTTTTCATCACCAAAAACACGTGTCTTGTCCCCAGGCCCTTCAGCCAAGCCACCAGCCTCATGCTGCTGAAACCCCCAGGCCCTTGTCAGGTGTGACATCCTCCTCATCCTGCCACTGGCTGATCCTTGGGGTGAGCCCAGCCTTGCTCCTGTGTCTGAAGGACAGATGGGACAGGATTTACTTCTCTGTCATCCACCCCATGGCACAGGGTCCCCTGCCCTGGGGACTCTCCCTGCAGGCTGTTCTCTTGCCTGGCCCACAGCACCCACTGCATCAGTCCCTCACTAAAAATAACCAAATTCCATTTCTGGTAAGCCAGCCTCAGTGGCCCAGTAGCCATCCCTCAGGAGCAGGTGAATGACCACCTCTGGCCT